CTCCTTAGGGGATAACATTCCTTCCTAAACCCGTAAGGGGTCACAATGACCCACATCTTTGTACATGCAGATCAGAATTCTGTAAATCGTCAATACATCATGTGATGTATATAACCCTTTGTCTCAAAAATGTAAATGACTGGGCTTTGACCTCTATTGGGCAGAACAGTTCTCAGAGCTCTCTGAGAGACTGTCTCCTGGATTATAATCCTCAGGTTGACTCAAATAAAATTTTCCATTTCTTTCACAGATTGGCTATTGATTTTTCATCAACAATACAAATTCAGTTCAATTTCTTCCACTTTGTCTCTTCACCTAAAATTCTGAAAAGTGATCAGCCTAGAGATCTTGCCAGATCTGTGTGGAAGAGAGAATCAGTGGTCACTAGACTGTCCTCCTTGATGAAGGAAAGTGGGTTCAGATATTGCAAAAAGATTGGCCACCTGAAGCCAAATGAAGTTTCTCCTTAGCCCTAAGTTAACCAAAAGATTCTGCCTTAGGAGCTTCCATTCCCCTAGTACCCTAAGGGGTTGTATTATTCTCTGGATGTGATATATATGTCTATTTCAGCTTTTCAAGTAGCATCTGCTGCTCTTGGGTGCAAGAAGATGAGTATTTCATTGATACCTGGGACATTTTCTGTCGTAATGCTATCCAAATGTGACTTGGGCAAGTCTGTTAACTATATTTTTCACTCATTTGACAAGTGAAATTTATAACAGAAGGGATCAAAACTCTAGGGTGTTGGGAAGAAAATTTGCATGGGAATTTCAGAATTGAAAAGGTCAGTGATCCCATGAGGATGGACAGCCCTAGGGAGTTCTGAAGCCCTTGTTCTAAGAAAAGGAAATGAAATGGAGTTCTCTTTCATTCTGAACGATGATGAGATGACTTAGGATAACAAGACTCACTTCAAAGTGACGAGCTATCCTATTTGAGCTTCATCTACATTAAAACTAATGGTTGCAAGGACCAGAATGATATGCTTATTAGTTATATGTCTGGAGAGCTCCAGGGCTATCTACCCTTTGGAGGTAAAACTCTTATGGGCGCCCAAGCAAAGTAAGGTGGCACATCTTGCTTAACTACAGGAGACCATTTCTGAAGTTATACATACTAAGGTACAATTCAGGTATCTATGACAATCTAAAGATTTCCATAGTAGTTCAGTTCAACAAATATTTCTCAAATGTCTATTTTTCAGGTACTATGTTAGCTGCTAGAAATGCAGAGATAATAATAACTAGTTGCAATAGTCAAGAATTACCAAGAGTTGCTCTGTTTTGTTTTACTATGTCAGACCCTCTACTAGGTGCTTTAGATATAACATCTTATAATACCTCATTTCATTTTTTCCATTACCCTATGAGGTATTCTTATCCCCACTTTACAAATCAGAAAAAGGAGGCTCAGAAAGGTTAAATAATTTGCCTAAGGTTACACAGCTAGTACAGAGTAGAGGTGGGACTTAACCCCAGGTATATCTAATTCCAAACTTCACAATCTAACCCACTATACCATACTCTTCAGAGACCATTAAGCTTTAAGACCCTCATGGAGAAGTGGCAGATATGCACTCAAAGAGAGAGTTTCAAATTTTCATGCTAAATGCTAAGACAGAGGTATGCCTCCAGTGCTGTGGGAATAACCAGCATAGCATGTGGATTTCTAGGAGCACAGACTCTGGAGCCAGAGAGAGAGCCTGGGTTTGCAGTCTGACTTGGCTACTTATCAATTATGTGAACTTGGACAAATTAAACTTCTGTGTGCCTCAGTTTCCTCACCTGAAAGAGGGATAATAAAAGAACCTAACTCATAGAGTTGTTATGAGGATTAAAAGTGCTTAGAATAGTTCTTGGCACATAATAAGTCCTATTTGTATGTTAAATAAAAGAAATAAACTTAACTCTGAATTTGGTTACAGGGCAGGCTTCTTGAAAGGGCTGATGCCTGAACTGAGTCATAGAGGATGAGTAAGAGTTAGCCAGGTGAAGGAAGCTGGGAAAGATGGGCCAGGCAGGTGAGGAGAGCATCATTGGTGGAGCTTAAGTAGAAGCAGCTTGCTAATTTTAGACTAGAGTGTACAGTGCAGAACAGAAAGAGATAAGGGGCAGATCTGGAAAGGCCCTGTATGTCGCTTGATGGAGTCTGGACTTTATTTTATAGGTAACAGGGAACCATGGAAGGGAAGGGTTTTATGCAGGGAAACAATATGGACAGATGTACATGGGAGTGTAGATTTGTTATATGGTCTGAAATTTTAAAATACTCGGCACAGTGTGAGAGATACACACACCTATATATGCACATGAACGTATATACATATACCCGAGGGACAGTTAACATCCCAAGCCCTCCAAGAGGAACACACTCTAGCAATGCTTAGTTTGCATCTAAAAGACTCTAGCTGGGAGTCCACACTCCAAATGAAGCGACTGCGAAGCTTTAACCAACCTACTAAATCTACACTAGAGGGTTTGCTCATTACTGTAAGGGATGTTAGACATGAACTCTCACTGGTAAAATAAATGGTGTTCTAGATTTATGGGCTGACATTTGGTCTGCCCTCGCATGAATGGAGCCTGAAAAACTGGTGATTCTAAGTCTAGGAATCCACTGGGTTCTGCCTCCTGACACTTAATGGATGACTTTGTCACCTTATCTGACGACATGTGCTTCAAGTGAAACTTTCCTGCATGGGGCTTAATGGATCTTATGAAGACAGTTTGTAGGATTATGTCTAGCTGCTAGTAAATGTATGCTTGGCAGAAGTGGGTCAAAATCCTGTCCTATTTTCAATAGAACATACCACCTGGTATGGGAGATTGTGGGGATGAGGATGACAACCCAGAGCTATCTCTAGTCATTGGAAGCTACTGATATTCACTGAAAAGTACCAGACAGTGTGAGAAGCTAAACTGGCTTAGATCAATTTGCAGTAGGATTAAAGGAGGGTAAACATGCAGGAAGGGAGACAAGTTAGGAGGAGGCTCCTGCAAGAGGTTCAAGCAATAGACGATGAAGATCTGAACTAGGACAGTGACAGTGAGTAAGAAGAAGAGAGAACGGAGTCAAGAAATATTTCAGAGGTAAAATCAGGAAGTCTTGGTGAGCCCTTGGATCCCAGGAACAGTTTGTGATAATTTCCAGGTTTCTTGTCTGAGTGAGTTGGAGACGGTGACATTCACTGAGGTAGGGGCATGATAATAACAAGGGGAAGAGAAAGTTTGGGTTGGGGGCAGGGGCAAGCATTTTAATTATGCTTTGGATACATTGAGCTTAACATCCATATGGGTAAATTGGATAATAGAAGCCTAAAGCTCAGGGGTAAGTCGAGGCTGGGACTAGAGATGGGATGTCATCAGCGCAAAAGGGCTAGAGAATACTTTAAGAGCAGATGAATCTTCAGCTGCCGTAACACAAAGTCAGTAGATGATGTTTTAAAAGTGTTTGACAAGAAACAGTAGAATGTGGAAAACAGCATGGTAGTTCCTCAAAAAGCAAACAGAATTACCATGTGAGTCAGCAATTCCATTTCTGGGTATATACCCAAAAGAAATGAAAGCAGAGACTCGAACAGACATTTCTATACTTGTGTTCATAGCAGCATGTTCATAAAAGCCAAAGATGGAAAGAGCTCAAATGTCCATCAGTGAATGAATGGATAAACAAAATACGTTTGTGTGTGTGTGTATGTCATACATACATAATAGACTATTATTCATCCTTAAAAAAGAATAAAATTCTGAGCTATATTACAACACGGACAACCCTTGAAGACATCTGCTAAGTGAAATCAGACAGACATCAAAGGACAAATATTATATGATTCCATTTATATGATGCACCTAGAATAGTCAAATTCATAATGACAAGAACTAGAATAGTGGCTACCAGAAGCTGGGGAGGAAGGGAATGAGAAGTTATTGTTTAATGGATATAGAACTTCAGTGTGAGATGATGGAAGAATTCTGTAGATGGATAGTGGTGATGATTGTACAACAATTTGAATGAACTTAATGCCACTGTACACTTAAAACTGGTTAAAATGGTCAATTTTGTGTGATGTATATTTTACCACAATAAAAAAAGAAATAGCATGATAATCATATTCTTTTAAATGATGGAGGTAAATACCATAGGGAACACTTCAAAGAGTGATTGCTTCTGGGAAGCAGGAAAGGGGTGGGCATAGAGACTTCTGCTTATCATTCTAAGCCTTTGGTACTCTTTCTTTTTTTTAAGCTATATGCAAGTATTACATTGAAGAAAAATATTTTAAACTGGAAAAAAAAGTGGATGAAATCATTCAGGATGAGTTTGAGGAGTTGGTAGAAGAATAGTTACCTTAGGGTAAAGGTAAGAAACAACAACCCACTAAAATAAGGAAATAGAGAGGGTTATTACAAGGATACAGGGGAATCACACTGAAATTTCCTGCAGGATGCACAGCGGCACCTCACTGAAATTCACAAGTTATCTGGGTGCCATCTTCTGGGCCCACTCTCATCACTCCCCTCTCTCCCTCTTATTCCACTCACAACTCTTCCCCTCTCCTCCCTCCTCTGTCTGCTAATCCACACCTCTCTTTGGCTCTTGATCTCTTCCTTGTTTCTCTGGGAGTGCTGCCTTTATTTCCCACCCCCTCCCCTCTGACTGGTACTGTCTTCTAGTCACTTGTCCACTCACATACAGCCAACACTAGCATCAGCCTCTGAATCAACTTGACCTCCTTGCCTGATTTCCTGCAGTCAGCTTTCTCCATCTTATTGCATTCCTGGGAGAAGGGACTCCTGCAGAGAAGGTGTCCACCTTCAGTTAAATATCCATCTCTGGTCATTTTGGCTGCATCCTGAGGCTTTACCAATTCTTCCTGAGAGATCCTAGGTTGGGAAATATTGCAGTAAAGAAGATTTAAGCTACGTGTTAACCCCAAATATAACTACCATCAAATAAGATCCTTGAGGAACAGAGGAGAAGGAGAATCAGGAGAAAAAAAAGCCAGGGAAGAAAGAGTTTCGAGCAGGTGAATGGTTAAACAGTGTTAAACACTGCAAAGCAAGATCCCTTAAAATAAAGACTAGAAGGTGTCCACTGAGTTTGGCATTGGGGTGAATGAAAACGAAGGCTTAGATCAGGTATGGACCATTCTTTCAAGAGGCTTGGATGACAAGGGAATACCTGAGGGGGAACACAGGTTGAAAAGATTTTTGTTTGTTTTTATTAAAACAAAATAGAGGTTTGGTTGTGGTTACAGGTGTGGCAGGGTAGAAGGGAAGTGCAAAAAATTAAGAGATGGACTGGTGAAAAGGTTGGTGTTGAACTGAAGAAGCGATCCATTATCCTCTGAGACAGGCCGGAAATCATAAGAACTGCAGTTGTACCTTTTCAGTTCAGAGTTAGTCTTATATTTGCCTGACCAACCCTGACCACGGAGCTACTGTTACCAGAGGAAAAGAGGGCAAAGGGCAGAACCCAGGAGAACGCCAACACTTAACAATGCAAGCAAGTGTCAACTTCAGATCTGCTCGTTCAACGTGAGTCTTTAGTTTGGGTCTAGCTTTCCCTACCATTGAATGGCTCTGGGTCCATTCTTAAACACCTACCTAATTGGTTTCATGCCCCAGGAATACCAACCAATAACCTTTACAAATCATAATTAGAAAGGAGAGTATGTGGCAGTAAAGTCATGTACCATATTCTGGAAAGAAGACAGGAATGGGAATCTGAGAGCTGCCACCTTCCCTCTCTGGGCCTCCGTTGTTTCTTCAGCTCCTTTGGTTGGAACACTCTGACTTTCTCACTTTGACTTCTGGCTTATCTATGCTTGTCTTGTAGCTGTCTTAATGCTCTCCTACATTAATACAAATGGGTGGAAGCTTACCACATTCTTTTCAAGCTCATGATAACAGGAAAAATATCCAAGGAACCCAGATCATAACAAAATATGGTAAGCAAAAAAAAATCAGAGTCAAAGGGTAAAAATGTGATTGACTTCTTGCTATTAATTTCAGCGCCCAGCTGTACAACTGTAAGGCTGTGTTCCCTTGAGATCAAATCAACGGTTCAAAAGTGGAAAACTCCAACCACCTTTTTTCTCTGGTCAAATCAAGATTCACTCCCTGTCCCTGCTAACTTTTGAGGAGATAGTAAATAGTTTCCTCTCTTCATAACATCCCTCACAGTTGTCAAAAGCATTAAGATTTTAATATACATAAAAGAAAAAGGTGTTTAACTATCATCCTCAACTATTCTTATGCAAACTTCAGAACTTCATTGGGGGAAACTGGACTAGGGACAGTGTGCCCTGCCCATTCTCTTCCATATAGCCAGCCAGCTGGGAACAATTCACCAGTGTCAGCCTAGGTTCCTCATTCCTATTCTGAAGTTTAAAAATACTTTAATACAAGTACGATTGTGAAGAAAGATCATGCCGTTGTTTCTACAGAAAGATGGTACAGCTGATTTATATGTAAACCATATTCTTTCAGCTCTTTTTCCAGGGTTGAGGATGGAATCAGTCAACATCATCTACACCTTCACCCTCTGGTGACCAAACAGCTTTCATTTGTGCCCAGCGATAGAGGTAAAAGCAGTGGCCAAGAAATTGACTTGTTCACTTATATCCGACCCAAGACCATGAATCACACATGCCTGGAACTGCATATGACAGTAGTTTAGTCAACTTCTTTCATTAGATTGACCATGTCACCTGGCCCACCCCACCCAGGCCATGTGTAGACATAGGCTGAGTCCCCAAACTTCAGTACTGAACACCACAGGCAAAGGCTCTGGCTTAGAGAACTGGCCAAGTTCTCAGTTTCTGCTTCAATCTGTGAAGCAGAGTCAGTCCCTGAGCAGGGCATGGGGGAAGCACACTGCCTTCTCTTTTCCGGACCAGGGCAGGTAGAGGTGAAAAAGATGGGGATGGCTCGGCTGCCAGCCTTTTCAGCAGATGGTATCACCACCGTGAGATAACTAGCATGCAGTCCCACAGCTGGGCTGGGTAAAGAGAATGAGAACTGAAATGGAAAATCAGATGAACAAAAATGCAGGGGAGGTTGCTGCCCTGGTTGAAAATGTTCGTGACTTGACATGAAAGGCTCCGACTGCACTGGCTCTAAAGATGCATTTCTTTCCCATTTGCATTTAGGTCTCCAACACTGAACTAGCTTCCTAGGTGCACTTCACTTCTGCTCTTTCTCAAAAAGCACTTCCTCTGCGACTATTACTTTGCCAAGGTCTGGACTATCAGAATGCTCAGTTCTTCCGCTTCCTGGGCCACACCACAGCACACCTGCTTGGAGTCCAGGTGCCACGGCTGGAACCCATCAGGAATGACACTATGCTGTTCCGGTGCTTCCACTGTCAATCTGTTACTGCACTGATTTCAACAAGGGCTGCTGTCATTATACAGTTTGAATCTGTTTCTGAACTGAGATGCTAAATTGTACTTTTGATTATTCCTTTGCTGTTTTAAACATCCTTTTGACGCACTAAGAGTCACTGATACCTAAATAAAATAAGCAGCAGTCTATTTCATGAACCATTAGATTGAAAATGTTCAACTCAAGCACAATCTACTAATTTACTAATTGCTGGCCTATGGCTAATTAACAGAAATTAGCTGTGTTCCTGGCAGGCACACCGACCATTACTTCACTAGTTGTACATGTCTAGGGGTTGAGGGGAGGCTATAAAATAACACTGGTGAACAAGACGGAGGTCCTGTTTGACCCCGGGCAGGAGGGAGCTCACTTTTTAAATGCCGCATGCAAGGCTTGTCCTATTGCCCTCAGTTCCAAGAGAAGTTCAGCCCCCCGAGACCGAATCCCCTCCCTTACAGGAACTGACTCAATTCATCCTCCACCTGAAGTCTTCACTACTTGGCAGCTGAGTTCCTTTCACAAGTATGACTTCCACAGTGGCCTGCCTTTGGGGAGAAGGAGAAAAGGCTATAAACACAAAAGAAGGGGAAACTGAATAAAAAAGAAAGCTCCCCTACAGTCAGAGGGTGCCCTTCTCCTCAGCTCAGGCTAAGCACGCTGGATTCATAAACACTCTTCTATTGAATTGGGTTTCAGAGCTGTTACTTAGTGTTGACTCAGTAGGTAGGTAAGACAAAAGCAAACAAGGCAGCTAGCTCTCCACCTCAAAAGTGGGGCCCACTAGGGCACGATCCAGGTATATTTATGAAATAGGCAACTTTTGTTCTTAGCATGTCCCAATTCGTCTTTTGACACCCCCCCCCCCACTTTTCAGCCCACCTCCCTGGGTTCCAGTATCTCTTACTGCCACTCAGCCTTGTAGAGTCATTCCCTGACCCCACCTCTAATTTACGCTGGGGTTCCCAGTCCTTAGCACTGAGCACCACTCTGGACCTGTCTCACAATTTAAATCAGAAGGTTTTTTGCTCCAGTTCCTCAGGGCCCAACTTCACAATGGGATACCCTCATAAGTGACCATGTTTGCATTCTTGGAGAGAATTCTGGAATTCCTTAGCTTAAATGAGTGATTCAAATGGTAGAAATTTCTGACATGATTTTGGGGTACTCAGGAAAGCAGTTTAAGAAAACTCCTTAAAACATTACCTCCTAGGCAACTGTACTCATTCCTTTGTGTGGGACTGGTTCTAGAACCACATGGAGGCTCTTGGGCAAGAAGCATATGTCTAGAAGTCCACTGGCCACTGGTGTCCTGGTAGGTTTCCCAAGTGGTGAGGGGGTAATTCCAGAATAGTTCAGGCAGTCAGAGATGCTGCTTTCTCACTGTAGAACTCTACAATGCTTGTGTAGAAATTACTTCTTGCTTCTCCACTTTTTTTCATCAAAAGAAACAGATTAAGAACTGGCTAAGAGAAATGTTAATTGTCAGTCATTTGACCAAAGGTGGTTTCATTGCACATAGATTATACTGTTGCTATACTATTACAAAGCCTGCCTAGAGAACTAACCTGAATAGAATTGGGGAATAATTCTTAAGTAAAAAAGGTGCTTAAATGAGTTATTGATAGATGCAACAATGTGATGAACCTTAAAGGCATTATGCTGAGAGAAGCTGGTTTCAATATTACCTACTGTACAAGTCCATTTATATGACTTTCTCAAAAAGACACAACTGCAGTGATGGAGAACACATCAGCGGTTGCCAGGGTTTGGGGGTGGGGTGTAAGTAACGACGAAGGGGCAGCATTAGTGAGTTTTGGGGGATGAAGGAACTATTCTGTATCTTCATTGTAGAGGTCGTTACATGAATCTATACTTGTGTTAAAATTCACAGAACTGCATAACAATAAAGTCAATTTTTCTACATACTAACTTAAAGCTAATATTAAGAGAAAATGTACTGTTCCTATTGTTTTTTTAGTCCTCTGTGAAGTCAAGTTTCCCCTCTATAAAAATCAAGTAAGTTCAAGATGCTCCAGGTCTGGAGAACAGGCATGAAAAGGGCTTTTAGGAAGAGATCATGAAAACCCTCTGAGTGCCTCCTAAAGAAGGTGTTGAATCTACGAAGAAGGTGGAGCATATGTTTGGAGGTTTTGGCCAAGCAAAGGACTGGGGTTTGTGGCCAATCATCCATAGTCTCTGGTTCCCCCTCATAGGTTCTCTTGCAGTCAGAGCCAGCTGACTGACGAGGATTAGGGGTGGTGTCTGTTCACCATGCAAAGTTAACAAGTCCATTCAGGCCTCACGTGTTGACTCCATGGACAATGATCAGGCCAGTGATTCCTATTTCAGAAGGGCTGGGGAGGGGACAGGTTGAGGTACCCTATTTTGATTTCCTAGTGCTGCCCTCTGATATGAAGCAAATGCTTGCTTTTTTCATGAAAGTGATTTTTAATTAAACTTGGCTAATAAGAATTTCCAGAAGATGAACAATGCCTCTCTGGATTATGAGAGGCTCCTGAACGGGCGGCATACTCAAGCTAGGAAAGTCACTGTTCTTTGTTAACTATCCAGTCTGCTAGTCAGATGGCCAACTAATTTCATGCCCACATATTAGCCAGACTCCTTAGTCCAGCTTCTGGCAAAATGTTCAAGGCCCCAATTTTTTGTCTTTTTTTAAATTAAACTTTTTATTTTTGAGGTCATTGTAGAGTCACATGCAATTGTAAGCAACGTGAGATAGCACGCACTCTTCACTCAGTTTCCCAAAGTGGTAACATATTGCAAAACTGTAGTATAATATCACAACCAAGGTATTGACACTGCTACAAACCATTGATCTTGTCCAGATTTTCCCAGCTTTACTTGTAATCATTTGTTTGTATGTGTCTGTATATTGAGTTGTATGCAATTTTATCACAATTTTATCATGTAGGTTGAGGTATCCACCAACACAGTCAGAACTGTACTATCACCACAACCATCCTTCCTGCTCCCCCTGCAGCCACAGTCACCTTCTATCCACCAGATTCCCTAGCCCCTGGCGCCCGCTAACCTATTCTCCATCTCTGTGTTTTGTCATTTCAATAGTCTTATATGATCATACAATATATATACAACAGAATATTACACAGACATAAAAAAGAATGAAATAATGCCATTTGCAGCAACATGGATGGACCTAGAGATCATCATACTAAGTGAAGTCAGTCAGACAGAGAAAGACAATTATCATATGACATGATACAAAGGAACTTATTTACAAAACATAAAGACTCACGCACATAGGAAACAAACTTATGGTTACCAAAGGGGAAGGGGGGCAAGGAAAAACTGAGAATATGGGATTAACTGCACACTACCATAAATAAAGTAAACAAGGATTTACTGTATAGCATAGGGAACTATATGCAATATCTTGTAATAACCTATAATGGGAAAGAATAAAAAAAGAATATAGATATATACATACATATGTATAACTGAATCACTTTGCTGTACACCTGAAACACACAATATTGTAAATCAACTATACTTCAATAAAAATAAAATAAAATAAAATAAATCATACACCATGTAACCTTTTAAGCCTGGCCTTTTCTCACTCAGCAAGATTCCCAGGAGATTCATTCAAGTTATTGCACAAAGTTCTTTTTATTGCTGAGCAGTATTCCATGGCACATTATATCCTACAGTTTATTTAATCATTAATCTGTTGAAGAACACATGTATGAGTGATCCAGTTTCTTGGGATCCTTGTCAGCATTTGCTGTCACTATTTCGCATTTTAGCTATTCTGATAGGTGTGTAGTAATACCTCACTGTGTTTTTTTGATTTGCATTTTCCTAATGACTAATGATGTTGAACATCTTTTTATGTGTTATTTGCCATCTGTATATCCTCTTTAGTGAAATGTCTGTTCATTTCTTTTGCCCATTTTCTTTTTGAGAGTTTGAGTTTTGAGAGTGCTTTATATATTCTAGATACAAATCCTCTGTTAGATACGCAGTTTGCAAGTATCTTCTCTGGTCTGTAGCTCATCTTAATAGGATTTTTCATAGAACAAAACTTTGCAGTTTTGATGAAATCTAATCAATAGTTTTTCCTTTTATGGACCATGCTTATGGTGTCAAGCCTAAGAACTCTTTTCCAAGTTCTAAGCTATGACGATTTTTTTTCCTGTGGCTTTTTTTCCCCACAAGTTTTATAGTTTTACACTTTAAGTCTGTGATCCATTTCAAGTTATTTTCTGTATACAATGTGATGTTTAGGTAAAAGGACTCTAGGTCCTTTGCGTTTCCATATAATTTTATAATAAGTCTTTCTATAAGAATCCTTGCTGGGGTTTTGATAGAGATTTCATTAACCTATAAATCAATTTGAGAGAACTGACATCTTTAATATGTTGAGTCTTCCAATCCATGAACACAGTAAGTCTCTCAAATTACTAATGTCTTCTTTGAGTTCTTTCATCAGGGTTTTGTCATTTTCAACATATAGATCCTGTACACCTGATACTTCATTTTCTTTGGAGCAACTATAAATGATGTTGTATTTTTTACTGTTAACGCTGTCAAGAACTTCCAGTACAATGTTGAATAGAAGAAATAAGAGCAGACATGCTTGCCTTGTCCCAATCTTCAGAGGGAAGGCATTCAATTTTCACTATTAAGTATAATGTTAGCTGTATGGTTTTGTAGATGTTCTTTATCAAGTTAAGGAAGTTCCTCTCTATTCCTATTGTACTGAGAGTTTTTATCATGGATAAATGATGAATTTTATCAAATGTGTGTTTTTGTGCCAGTTGATATGATTTTTGTTTAGTCTGTTCACATGGTGGACTACACTGATTTTTAAAATATTGAACCAGGCTTACATACCTTGAATAAATCCCACTTGGTCAGGGTGTATAATTCTTTCATACATCCTTGGATTTGTTTTGCTACTGTTTGGTTGAAGATTTTTCTAAGTTCATAAGAGATATTTGTCTATAGTTTTCTCTATTTTTTGTACTGTCTTTGTCTGGTTTGGGTATCCTCCTGGGATTCTGATATGAATGTTGGATCTTTTGTTATTTCCCACAGGTTTCTGAGGCTCTATTTTTTTCCCTAGTCTATCTTCTCTCTGTTGTTTAGACTGAGTAAATTCTATTGGTTTATCCTCAAGCTCACTGATTCTATCCTCTGTCATCTTTACTATCCTATTGAGCCTATCCAGCAAGTTTTTAATTTCTGTTATTGTATTTTTCAGTTCTGTAATTTGTTTGGTTCTTTTTTATAACTTGTTATTTCTTTGCTTAGCTTTTTCTCTTTTTTTTTCATTTGTTTCAAGAGACTTTGCAATTGCTTATTGAAGCATTTTTGTGATGCTGCACTGAACTCTTTGTCAGATAATTCTAACATCTGATTCATCTTGGTACTGATGTCAGCTGACTGTCCTTTCTCATTCAGGCTGTGATTTTCTGCTTCTTGGTATGATGGGTGATTTTTTATTGTATTCTGGACATTTTGGCTACTATGTTAGGAGACCATTTAAATCTTCTATTTCAGCAGGCAGTCACTGTTTAGGTTTAGCACACAGGTCCTGGCCAATTTTTGTAGGCTGTGATTTCAATGATGATTTACTTTTCAGGGCCTCTGTGGTGCTATTTTGGTCTGCTTGGTTAATGCGGTATTGATGGGGCCCCCACTGGTCCCTGCTGGTGCTGCCTGGGGGAGCAGAAGGTGCCTCACTAGGCTGGGTTGCCTGATGCATCCGGGTAGAGGAAGTGAGTCTCTAGTCTGTAGAAACAACAAACCTTCTCTGGCTTTGCTTATTCTGGTGGCACCCCCACTTGCCAGTGCTATATGCCCTCCTGGTATCTCTTATGGGAAAAGGAGATCCTCAAGACCATGGGGAAAAAGGCTTTCTGAGCCAGACTACTTGCTGTGGTGGGATTTCCCCTTGATGGCGCTTTGGTCACACAGTATCTTTTGGTGGCATAGGGCAGTCTCTGGCCTGGTGGGAAAGGAAAGCACTTTCCCTAACTGCTCACTGTCAGTGGGGCTCCCTGCTAGATTTCCTTTGCTGGAGTTGCCATGTCCACCTGGTGTTGTCAGCAGAACTCCCATTCAATCCAGAGAAAGCAGCAGCCTACCCGAGTCACTGTCTGTTGCTTGGTGGGGGTTGGGAAATGTTAGGTCTGGGTCCCCCTTTTCTGCTGGCTACCACGGTGTTCCTCCAGTCCTGGAATTCCTAACCATTCTGTGTTCCTCTTTACATCTTACAGAATTCTCCTTTGGTTGCCCCTTGAATTATTTCTAGGATTTATCATTATACTTAGCTGGGAGGAGCAGGGAGAAATGAGTCCATGCTATCTTGTCCAGACTGGAAGTAGAAGACCAATTTTGCAGTGGTTTCTGCTGCAGCTTCTCCTAGGAATGACTCATCTGTCACCCTTTTCTTGGCAAAGAGAAGCTCAGGAGGTTTTGCTGTGGTTAATGTAACAAGCTCCCAGTTTGGGGGGTTTGTTTGTGTATGTGTGTGGTTTTTGGTTTTTGAGAAGAAAGGTTGGAGAGATGAGTCCTGAAAGAGTAACTGTGTTACAGTGGGGCAAACACTCTGATAGGATGCTGAGTCTGCTGTGGATCTGTCTTGCCTAAAAGATAATCCTATGTCACTGTACTCACAGATCATATTTGAGGAGTCAGAACAACCAAAATTCAGTATTTTCAGACAGGATGGAGGCAGAAAATAAGATTTTAAAATATTATTCTTCCTTTGCCTAAACCTTGGCACATCAGTATGTGATATACTCTGTGCAGCCCTGGTCCTCAAGGAAAACAAGATGCCACTGGAGAAGACTGCTTGCTACAGTAGGCTGAATTGTGATCCCCAAAGATGCCCATGTCCTAATCGTTGGGATCTGTGAATATGTTATCTTACATGGTAAAAGGGACTTTGCAGGTGTGATTAAGTTAAGGATGTTAAGATGGGATAGTAGCCTGGATTATCCAGGCAGACCTAATCTAATTACAGAGTCCATATAAGAGAGACAGGAGGGTCATAATTACAGAAGGCAATGTGAAGCCGAGGTCAGACAGTGAGAGAGATTTGAAGATGGTATGTGCTGGCTTTGAAGATGGAGGAAGGGGCCATAAGCCAAGGAATGCAAGTGGCTTCTGGAAGCTGGAAAATGGCTGATTTTAGACTTCTGATCTCTAGAACTGTAAGATAATAAATTTGTGTTGTTTTAAGTCATGAAGTTTGTGGTAATTTCTTATAGCAGCAACAGGAACTAATACACTGACAGAGGGCAAGTGACATGATCAGCAGGGAGGTCACGAGATATTATAGAATAGGAGGAACATGGCTGCTGCAGAAAGACATGTCAAAGACATGAGACTCCAGTCTGGGAAGGTAAAACCTGAAAGGAGACTGACTCAAACTCTAGACCACTGCTAAAAAATAGAACTTTCTGTGATGATGGAAATGTTCTGTATCTGCACTCTCCAATATGGTAGCCACTAGCCACATGTGACTACTGAGAACTTGAAATGTGGCTAGTACTACTGAGGAACTGAACTTTTAATTTGATTTACTCAATTAATTTATATTTAAATTTAAAAAGCATGTAGCACATGTAGCTAGTGGCTACTTGTATTAGACAGAGCAAGTCTCTACCATTAAAAAGAGCGTGGATAATGTAAATATAAACTTATTCATTAAATTCTTCAATGCTAGAAAACTAGCTTACCAAAAATAACATATCAAATTAAAGAAGCACCAGCACTTCTCTGGAGATCAGATTTATCATAACCTCTGCCATAATATAGCCACAAACCTAGAAGAAAAAAAATCATATAAATAGCATTTCAAATTGCTATCATAAGACACATGAACTTCACAGGAGATGCATGGGATCAGCCCTTGGTCAGACAACTGTATGTTAGAAGAATCTAGAATACACTGATCTCAGCCTCTGATGCCAAAAAGAGTAAAGCAGGAAACTAAATGAGATAGAATTTTAGAAGCACAGAAATCTGGGACCCATTTAATAGAGAATGACATATTCCTACATGCCCCACAGGTCCAGAGCAAAAGCAGATGGTCATTATGGCCACTCTGAGTCACAGAACAAGGTTATATTATGCTCTGAATCATCTGTTTAAGAAAGCAAAGCAATGAATGATGTAATCTCAAAAAAGGAAAGAAAAACTCAACAAAGGAAATGAGTAAATGCAAAACAAAGCAAAAAAACCATCTTTTCACTGTCATGCAAAACCCCTACTTTGAAGGTTCCAGCCACTATGCTATATCATCCACTCCAGGTCCTTGTCGCTGTCACTTACACAGGAATGATATTCACCAGGGTGGATAACTCACTGCTAGCACTCTCTTACCATTACCGTCAACACCATTCCCACCATCTCCTTCTGCCTTACCTGCCACACAACTTTCAAATCTGGATCAATGCAATCACCCACCAGTGCTGTTTCTATGTCCTGGCTGCGGAGCCCTGGGGGAGGAAAGAACACAATGGTACAGACAGGATCACCTTAAAAAGCATGGTCCCTGTGGAACAGTACATAGCAGTTATAGATGCAAGAAACCTATATGTGCTGGTATGGAAAAATAGTGAAGGCATCTTAAATTAAAAAGCAAGTGATAGCACACCCCTGAGTATGGCAATCATCAAAAAGATAGATTCTAACAAGCATCAGAAAGGTTGTGGAGAAACTGAAACCCTCATAGGCTGCAGGAGGGAATGTAAAATGGTGCAGCCACTTTGGAAAACAGTGTGGCAGGACCTCAAAATGTCAAACATAGAGCTACTGTATTACCCAGTGACTCCACTCTTAGGTATACACTCAAGAGACATGAAAATATATATCCACACAAAAATCCCTGTCATTGAATGTTCATAACAACATTATTCATAAAAGCCAAAAAAGTGGAAACTACCCAGTGTCCACCAACTAATGAACAGCTAAAGAAAATGCGGTCTGTATGTACAATTGAATATTATTATTCAGCAATAAAAAGGAGGAAGTTCTGATTCATGCTACAACATAGATGAATCTCAAAAACATGTGCTAAGAGAAACAAGCCAGTCACAAAAGACCACATGTCATGTGCTTCCATTTCTGTGAATGTCCAGAATGGGCAAATCTGTAGGGACAGAAAGGAGATTAGTGGTTGCTTAGGGTTCGGGGCAGGAAGTGGGGATAAGGGGGTGATAGCTACAGAATACAGGATTTCTTTTTTTTTTTACAGGATTTCTTTTTGAGGTGACGAAAATGTTCTAAAAACTGACTATGGTGGTGGTTGCACACATCTGTGAATATACTAAAAAATACTTGATTATACACTTTTACTGTGCAAATTGTATAGTATGTGAATTATAGCTCAATAAAGCTGTTATGTTTTTAAAAAGCAAGTGATAGAACAATGCATGTACTACGAGCTCATTTACATAAAAACCAAACTACATATGCATGTAATATAAACATTTGCTAATGTATGTAAATATACAAAGATGATTTGGAAGGCTACCCACCCATCTGCTAGCATTGGTTACTTCTGGAGAGGGAAGTGGGGCTGCCTTCTGTAATATCACACTTTGCTGTTTCTCCTCCTACCACCCTAGTTGTTCCTTCAAGTTGCTTTTGTAAGCACTCCTTCCTCTGCACATCCCTTTAGAATCTCACTTTACTCTTCAGGCTTTCCTTGAAGTGATCCTAAGATCATATATTTCCCACAGCTTCAAAAACCTCCATCCAAATCTTGACTCATTCATTCAACAAATATTCATTGAGCACTTACTAGGGAATGTGCTAGGACCTCTAAGTCTTTCCTCTACTTCATCTCCCATCCCTCAGCCAGCGAATTCCACCAGTCCTATCTCCAATAAACAAATTCATCTCTCTCAACTTCTCTCCATGTGCTCGGCCTCCACTGTAACCCCAGTCACTCTCGTCTCTCCCTAGATCACTGCAACGGTCTCCTCCATGGTTTCCCTGCTTGCAGAAGCCATTCTCCACATGACAGCCAGAGCCAACTTTTAAATATATAAATCATATCATATCAATCTCCCTGTTTCAAAGCCCTCCAAGGACTTCCAAATACACTTTGTATAACATGTAAGCTCTTTACTTTGACCTAGTAAGACAGAGCCCTTTCCCAAGTCTCTGACCTTATCCCATTCTGCCCTCCTTGTTTGCTCTGCTCTCAGCTATAATCTGTCCCCTCCTGAGGGTCTCTGTATGTGCCTAAGTTGTCCTTTCATCAACCATATCTCAGCTCCAGTGTCACCTACTCAGAGATGCCTTCCCTGACCATCCCAACTGAGCAGGCCCCAACCCTAGTCTCATCACATCACCATTTTCTTTTTCTCCCTAGCACTTCTTGTCATCTGAAATTATGTTTCACTTGCCAGTTTGCTTGTGTATTATGTCTTCCCCACCACTTGAATGTAAGCTCCACAAGAGTGACAACTCTATTTGTCTTGTTCCTGCTGAATCTCTAGCATCCAGGACAGTACCTAGTAAGTACTCAGTGAATCTTTGTTGAATTATGAGTCAGGATATGGATGGAGGTTGTTGAAGCCATGGGGAGTGTATGCTCTTAGGACCACTTCAAGGAGAGCTTGAAGAGTAAAATGAGATTCTATGGAGATGAGCAGAGAAAGGAATCCTGACAAAGGCAACTTGAAGGAACAATCACAGTGTTTGATCCCTAGATTTTTGGCTTAAGCAATTAGACAGACAGTGGGTGCCACTCACTGAGACTGAAAGACAAGGGGAAGAGCAAGTGGGGATGGGGACTGCTTCAAGAACTGAGCTGTGGACATGTTACATTCGAGAATATTAAGTCAACTAACTGGAGATCTTAAATAGATGGCTGGTTGTGGAAGTCCAGATAGACCTCAGTGAGGTTTTCAGGGCTAGAGACAGAAGTTTAGAAATTGAATTCATCAACACAGATACAGTATTTAAAGCCTTGGGAATAGACAACTTAGGAAGAAAGCAGAGAATGAGAAAAAAGGGGGGCTGATGCAGAGTTCCAATGTCTCCCACATTTGTATCTCTAGTCCTAATCTCTTTCTTCCACGAGTTCCAGAACCACTATCAAATGCCTTACATAAACCCAGTATGTCCCAAAATGACTCCACAGACTTCTCCACAATTGGTCCTCCTTCTGTATTCTCTGTCATTTATTCATCAGGTGACTGGATCTCTTTGTAACATCTCCAGTACAGTTCCCCACCCTTCCGTCCCCATAATAGTTTCTTTAGGTCATCAATCTCATCATCTCATGCCTAGATTACTACAATTGACTCTTAGCTGGTATCTCTGTCTCCAGTCTTGTCCCCCCACAATGCTGCCTAAAATGCCTTGATCATGGTACTCACTACTTAAAACCTTTTGATGGTTTCCCATCGTTCAAGATAAAGTACAAATTCTTAAACTTAACATATAAGGTCTTTCAGCATCTGCTTCCTACTGACCTTTTCAACCGTATGTTCCACTAACTCTCTCTCCCTTATATCCTAGGCATCCCAATTTATCAATTGCCTTTAGTTCTTTGGACTCATCATCCTTGTTTATGTCTGTCAACACATACCTGCTGTGCACCCCATTACTACCTGTTCTCCAGCTCTATGAAAAGTTTCCAGATTGCTCTCCAACCAAGCCAACTTGATCTCTTCTCTCTTGGTGTCTCCTCAGTATTCTGAATATGCTTCCACCTTTAGTGTCTATAATACCTTATTGCATTTCTATGTTCATGTAGCTCTCTCCTTCTACTAGCCTATAAGCTTAATGAGGGCGGGGATGGTACTTACCTCTCTTCCTTTTCCCAGTACCTAATATAGTGTCTAACATATAGTAATCACATCAGCCAATACTTATCAAGTGCTTATAAGTGCCAAGTAATTCTATAAGTGCTTTACATGTACTGATTCGTTTAAACTTTATGACCCTATGAGGCAGGTACTATTATTATGCCCAGCTGACAAATAAGGAAATAGAGACAGAGAGGTTAGTTTACTTACCCAAGGTCACACAGCTAGTAAGTAACAGATACAAGCCCAGGCAGTCTAGCTCCAAAGTCTGTGCTTGTAATCACTAGTCTCTCAGTAAAGATTCAGTAAATGCCTATTCAATGAACAGGAAGTTGGAAATGTGGGGCATGTGATTTTTTCATGTTATTATTCTGACCTTGACTATTTCATCTTTTCTTTCATTAAAAAATCTCATTTCATTCAGGGCTCAGACACAATAAAGTTACAAAATCAAATAACAGATCCTTTGCTATGGAGCTCAAGGGAGTCAATAAGGGCAAATGTCATTATCCTCACACCTCCAGGCACTTAGCAAGTCAGTTTGATTTATTGATGCTCAGTGACTAGGGCCAAAGCACAGGAAAATAAGAAAGAACTAAACAGCATAACATCTTAACATCAAAACAGCCTGACAGCAACCATTTACTGAGAGCCTCACCAAAGCCCGGCACTTTGTAGAGAGTTTTAGATGGATTACTTCATTCAGTCTTTCCAACAGCCCTCTGCGATGTATGCACTGTTGTGCTCTCCATCTTACAGATGAGAAAATGGGTTCAAAGAGGTTAGGTAACCTGTCCAGTGTTGCAGAGTTAGTAAGTGGCAAACCAGGATTTACTCCAGGGCTGCCAGCTGCAGAGTCTGTGCTTTGAAGCAGGGTGGCAGACCACATCCACGCGCCAGTGTCAACTGTGACTCTCGGGCTGCGCTGTCCTCATTGGACAAATGCTAGCCCCATGCAGCTGGGTAAATTTAAATCAATTAAATTAACTACAACTGAACTAAAAATTCAGTTCCTCAGCCACACCAGCCACATTTTAAGGGTTCAAAAGCCACAGTTGGCTAATAACTGCCATATTAAAGAGTATAGACAAAGAAAGTGTCCCTCATCACAGAAGGTTTCATAGACACTGTGGTTCCTGAGTGCACGTGCTATGACAGGGTCGGCTCTGCAAGCTTCTTCCAAGCTCTGTCCCCTTTTCTCCACCCTGCCAATCTGGCTCTTCTCACTCCAGAGTCTCGGGGAAACTTCGAGGCATACGTTAAGGTAATAACTTTCATTATCATCCCCTCCATCATTCACATCCTCAGCAATATCACCCTCTCTATCTACTGCCTGCAGTTCATCCTCATGCCCCCTCCCCTCTCCAGGTCTGGGAAGACAGAGATCCCTTAATTCATTCTTATTCTGCCCCCAACCAACCCAGATGACTGGATGGGGAGGACAGACATTTTACAGCCACAAGTATGAAAGGTCCCCCGGAAGTAGAGCTCCCTGGCTACTGTCTGCAGCCACGCTCTGTCTTACCACCTGCCACCCGCTCAGCTCTCCAGAGGGCGGGCTCACCCTAACCCTGGCCCAGCAGGCTGCTGAGAGGCAGCCGCTTGTGGCCACCATGACTCCAATGTGATTTTGGAGCTGGTGAAAAGGACCTGGAACTTTTTTAAAATCGC